GCATAACACGTAATGCATAAGAATATGTACCAATCGAAGTTCTTCGTTTCTTTCCCTTTCATGTAATAGAGAACTCTGGTTGGTTCAATTTCTTATGCCTCATGTGTTATGTGTTATGCAAGGGTCTGTGCTCCCCGCTTTAGTCTTTGGTAAGGAGAAAAGAAAAGATGAAGGCCCGTATACAGAACGCGCTTTTATCGATAAAAGCGCATATTTATCTCTGAAATTCTATAATATACGTGACGTAAAGTATAGTATGTTAGCGCGCTAACATCATTGTAAGCGCGTTCTGAATACGGGCCGAACTATATAATTCAAGAAGAGGTCTGTTCGCGTTGCATGAAATCCCTAAATATTTTTGCACTTAAAATGAGATAGATACATATTTCGCTTTAAAAAGAGAGAAAACGAAAATGCCGAGTGCAAAAAGTGCGAGCAATGCGAACAGACCTACCTTCAACTAAAAAGAACAGGCCTCATGTGTTCAGACTTCTTTGCATTCTTTGGACTTCTCTCATTATGCATCATGGTCTTTTTTCTCTATCACGATTAGATTAGAATGAATTAGACATAATTTGATATGGCTAAACATTAATGAGAAGAGAAGGAAAGATGAAAAGTGCAAGACACTCAACTACAATTACTACACACACACATAAAGGATAAGTCTTTCTCTGTAAAGTTTATAGTGGATCTGTAATATAATCAGAGTGGAGTGTGATTATTGAAAATAGAGAGAAATCCGAAATGATCGAATCTTGCACGAAGAAGCGAATGTTGTTAGGTATCACATTTTTAGGAGGGTTAGTTTCTCATATTTTCCGAATTAATGTATGTTCGGAAACCGTTCGAAGTAGCTCTAAAATAATATATCATTTTATCGCCAACATTCGAACAATAGAGATAAAAATACATAGAGATACTCAGGTGGTGTTTCCGAACATAGCCTACACAGCAGACTGCTATAGATACAAGCTTTGTTAAGCAAAGCATTTATGGAGAAACTTAATTTCTTTATAATTACATTCTTTACAGATTAACAGTTTTAGCACTAATTATCGAGAGCCATTGGACAAACAGTTCAAGTAAACTTTATGTTGATAATTACGAGAATAATTCCTCCTGTATCTCTGGCGAGGAGTATGAAGTGATATCCGAATGTCATCCATGCACTGCCTTTGAAATTGCTAGTGAAAGCATTGACGTTTGTGTCCACGCGAGATATAAAGAAGTGCTGAAATGCAAGAGCGGTGAAACAATAACAAGAAGGTAAAGCACACTGACAGAGGATTGATTGTGTATCTTGAAATAAGGTGAAAATTAGACAAGTAAAATTAGAAAGTAAGCGAATTTATTAAAATATTAATTGGTCAACACCTAGTGAATTGGCTCACTTTTGTAATTTTTGCCTCGAAATGCATAATTGACCACTAGAATTTGGTATATCTACTTGATTCTATATTATGTTCTCATATTTGTATTACAGTTGTGACAAAGTAGCTTGGCTAGAGGAAAAAACATTCTGGAAGTTTGAGGGTTTTATGTTGGCTGCAGCAATCTTGTCTTGCTTAGCTGTATATTGGAGAGAGAATATATTAAGACAGAGAATAATCAGAAAAGTAGCGAGACAATTACGAATTAGCGCATGAATGCTATGAGTTGAGAAAAATAGATAGAAAAGTTTTATATTTATATATTTTTCACTTGTTCAAGAAAAAGACAAGGAGAAAGAAATGGAGGATAAAATTGAGAATAAAATAGAGAAAGAAATGAGGAGCGAAATATATTTAGCTATATATTCTATGGCAGATTTGTGTCTTGTTCCGGTAGAAACTCTAGTAACTTTTTTTACTATAAAATACTGTGACTCTTCAATTAGTATTAAGCTAGTACCAATTAAACAGGATTTAACTGAACAAGCTTACACGATAGATCTCACAGATTTTGTTTATGAGATTGTAAATGAAATGCCTTATTATGCAAGCTCGTTTGAATTACCAATTGTCATTGTGAATGAAGACAGCTGCATGGCTGGTTTGTGTACAGTATTAAGACATATTGTAAAAAATATGAATCCAAGTTTACTAAACGACAAAACTATGTTATTAGGCTTTAAGGATTCCTGTTTGATGGCTTGTTCGGAGGCAAGTGTGTGGACTAAATTTTGCGAGGTCGATTTAATTTCAACTCTGAAGTCTTTAGATACACAGGTTTTGGAGAACTCTGAATTACCTGTTAATTTAGCCAGATTTGAATACCATATGTCTCAACCGCTTAGAGTGCACAATTTATATAAGTATATTGCAAGCAAAAAGTTTGATAACGTTGATATAACTGAACGTGATAAGACAGGTATGCCAATACATAAGTATGCGGATAGTGGATATATTACATTAGCTGACTTAATTATCTTTGTGTGTATGCATATTCTACTGAATATGTTTCCAAGCCAGATATCAAAGCTGATACCTTTAACAGTCCAATGGTATGACAGAATGTTGGATGATTTTCACATACGAAGATGCGCAAAATATTTACCTTCAAAGAGCCATAATTCAAGTGTACAATATACTCTTCCAGTTGTAGTAAACGAAAGCTTATACAAGAGCGATTATAAACGATACAAACCAAAAAACCGCATTTTCACAAGGCAAGATGATATAGAACGTTCGTTGCAGTTGATCGAAGACATGAATATTTCAATGCAACTTGATGTTGAACCATTTGGTATAGAAGTAAATTTAAACTGGTCTGACATCCCTTTTGAGGCTACACCAGCAGGCGGATCATTGCCAGCTACAAGGCTGCGACGGAAACAAGATCAACTGCAGAATCTGTGCAAACCCGTTTTGAAGTTGGCAAAGGCAGGGGATATTATTGTAGATTTCTGTTCAGGTACTGGCCATTTGGGAATATTGATAGCATATTTGCTACCTCGTTGCACAGTTATTCTGTTGGAAAATAAAGAGGAGTCTTTGAATCGAGCCAAGAAGAGGGTGGAAAGGATGAGGTTAATAAACGTAAAGTTTTGTCAGTGTAACTTGAATTATTTCAAGGGAGATTTCGACATTGGTACGTCATTACATGCTTGTGGCTTATCAACAGATTTGGTAATTCAATGTTGCATACGAAAGAATGCGATTTTCGTGAGTTGCCCTTGCTGTTATGGCTCGCTGCAGAATTGTCATCAGCTAACGTACCCGCGAAGTGATGTTTTTAAAGAGCATGTTAATAATAAAGAATACTCATACCTCAGTCATGCAGCGGATCAAACGCATGACGAACTAAATATTAAGACTAAACAAGGCTACAAATGTATGACAATTGTAGACACGGACAGAAAGCTGTTTGCCGAACAATTTGGGTACAAAGTTTATTTCGCTAAATTAATTCCAGAAACGAGTTCACTTAAGAATCACTTGTTAGTTGGTATACCAAAAGATAGACTAACACATGATTTATGTGATAATTAAATGTGTCCACTGTAGGACTTTTGTAAATAAATAGCATTCACGTTTAGAACATTAATTAATTATGCTATATATGTAATGTATATTTATAATTAATTTTAAGATTAATAAAAATTGATTAAAGGGGAAATTTTTTATCTTCATTTATATTATATTATGAGATTTTTTGCTATTATATTGGCTATATAACAAAATAATGTATTTTTATATTATATATTATATAGGATTCATTACAAATGTTCATTATATTAATTCCGATACCCTGTATATGTACATATATCTTCTTCATTCTGACTGCACGTGTCAGTATAATAGATTTTTTATTTTTAACATATACAAGTGTATATGGTCAACGAAAAACTAATAAGTGTATATGGTCAACGAAACTCTAATAAATAAGTATATTTATTTTATCTTTTCTTAATAAGTATGTTATTTCATTTTTTTTTCTCAAAAATATTTTGAATGTTATCCGCGAATCATATACAAATCACGTGCTGTAATATTTACAGTGTTATTACAATTTTGTTGCAATATTATTACAATATTGCCGAAACCTATATAGTCTGCTACATCAAAAATACAGTCCGCTAATATTACTAAACATTAATTTTCTAAATATTTAATAATAATTACCATATTTTATAATATTTACTGAATATTTAGAAAAATAAAATTATAGTACTGAAAGACAGTAATTAATTACTTATTTTAAATATTAAAATACTGTTGTTCAGTACTTTTAGTACTCCAAATAAGTAATTAAATACTTTTTTTCAATAATATATTGACCTCTGTTACACGCACTGATAAAACTGTTTAGTAAAAACCGTTTTTATGAAACTGGCCAATTATAGTCATTCCATTCTTCCGAGGAATAGCTATGATTGGCCAGTTTCACAAAAACAATTTTATCAGTGCGTGTAAGGGACAATAAATGTGCGGAACCCCTAACAGAGGTCTTTATTAATCTAGTGACTTTAGGGGGCGGTTTCACCAATGCCGATCAAGCTTAAGCCTGCGGCACACGATACTTGTTTTCCTGCTGGATTGCTAGCTGGATTAGAATCTTGCCACTGTATTGGCT